ATAAAAGCAACTTCCATAGAGTCATGGCAACTGAGCCCAATTTTAATGAGAGGAATGAACAAGTTGAACAAATTGTATTTGCAAATATGGGTTACTTTTTCAAGAATTTTGGTGGTAAAGGAGCAAGAGATGAGGAAGGGAGAGTCCGGGTAGATGACAGAAGTTAAACCTGTCGGTGGTAGAAGAGAAACAGATGGTACAAGAGAGCATAGGACAGGCATCAGTGGTTCCTGAGAAGGTGGAGGGTGCACAGCATGGAGAAGGGGAGGAGGAACCTTTCTTCCCAAGGGGTCTAGCACATGGGGTTTGAGGCAGAGGGGCAGAGGTCTGTGAGGGTGGAGAATGTGGGAGTGGGATGAGCTTGACACAGACCACTGCAGGCACAGGGGAAACCACACACTTTTTAACCAGCCAGGAGGACATAAGGCAACTGGTTTGGGAGCTCAGGGTGGGAACCTCGGGTCACTGCCCCATGCCCTTCCCCTATTCCAGATGATACAGCAAGATGACCTGGGTATTCCTGGGGGCAGGCAAGAATACAGGCCATGGGACAGGATGGTAAATCTTTTAGCCTATATTTCTTCCCTTCAGGGCAAGTTCCCCAAGGGTGACAAGGCTGAGGACGGCTTCCATGGAGTCTCCCCAGTGAATGCCTTCCCCCCACAGAATAACTATGGTAAGACTGCATATTGGGCTGCTGTCAACATTCACAAAGTGGTTGGCGGGAGCATTCTGCCTGATAGATGAGGCAGAAAGAAGCACCATGGGGACTTCTGGCCAGATTGGAGGTATAGGTAGTTACACTTTGCCTCCTTGCACAACTAAAGAAAGGACAACAACAAATTTAAAAACAAAAAGCAACCAGAATTGCCAGAAAATCAAATTATATAGAACTATGACAACCAAGGAGTTAAAGAAACACTTATCCAGACTGGTAGGAGGTGTGGAGATGGGAAGCTGGGCAGAGAGGATGCACAGCAAGGTGGTGGCTTATGGTCCCATATTTACCTGTGGATAAACTGGGAGGAACAACTGGGAGTGAGACAGCACAACCTAGGGTTCCAGTGCAGGGAAATAAAGCCTTAAAACCTCTGTCCATAAAAACCTGTGGGGGGAAAGGCAGTGGGGGAAACTCTCAGCCTCACAGGAGAGTTTGTTGGAGAGACCCATGGGGTCCTAGAATGTACACAAACCCATCCACCTGGGAATCAGCACCAGAGGGGCCCAATTTGCTTGTGGGTAGTGGGGGAAGTGACTGAATGCCAGCTGAGAGCTGAGCAAGAGTCATTGTTCCCCCTCAGACCCCTCCTCCACATACAGCACTGTAATGCAGAGATGTGGGTTGCCCCACCCTGGCGGGTACCTAAGGTTCTTCCCCTTACAATGTAACAGGTGCACTGAGTCAAAGAAATATGGCCCAAATGAAAGAACAGATCAAAGCTCCAAAAACAACTAAATGATGATGAGATAGCCAATCTATCAGATGCAGAGTTCAAAACACTGTTAATCAGGATGCTCACAGAAATGGTTGAGTATGGTCACATAATACAGGACAAAGTGAAGCCTGTGCAAAGTGAAATAAAGGGAAATGTACAGGGAACCAACAGTGACGGGAAGGAAACCAGGACTCAAATAAAAGATTTAGAACAGAAGGAAGAAATAAACATTCAATGTGAACAGAATGAAAAAAACAAGAATTCAAAAAAATGAGGAGAGGCTCAGGAAACCTCCAGGACAACTTTAAATGTTCCACTATCTAAATCATAGGGGTGCCGAAGGAGAAGAGGAAGAGCAAGAAATTGAAAACTTATTTGAAAACATAATGAAGGAGAACTTCCCCAATCTGGCAAAGGAAATAGACTTTTAGGAAGTCCAGGAAGCTCAGAGAGTCCAAAGAAGTTGAACCCAAGGAGGAACACACCAAGGCACATCATACTTACATTACCCAAGATTAAAGATGAGAGAATCTTAAAAGCAGCAGTAGAAAAGGAGACAGTGACCTACAAAGGAGTTCCCATAAGACTAACAGCTGATTTCTCAAAAGAAAATTCATAGGCAAGAAGGGGCTGGAAAGAAGTATTCCAAGTCATGAAAGGCAAGGACCTACATCCCAGATTGCTCTATCAGCAAAGCTATCATTTAGAATAGAAGGGCAGATAAAGTGTTTCCCAGATAAGGTCAAGTTAAAGGGGTTCATCATCACCAAGCCCTTATTATATGAAATGTTAAGGGAACGTATCTAAGAAAAAGAAGATGATCAAAAATATGAACAGTAAAATGACAACAAACTATCAACAACTGAACTTAAAAAACAACAGGAACAGAATCACAGAAATGGAGATCACATGAAGGGTTATCAGTGGGGCAAGAGAAAGGAGGGAGAATGAGGGAAAAGGTAGGTACAGGGCATAAGAAGCATAAATGGTAGGTACAAAATAGATAGGGGGGAGGTTAAGAATAGTATAGGAAATGAAGAAGCCAAAGAACTTATATGTATGACCCATGGACATGACCCATGGAGAGTGCAGGTACAGGGCGGAGAGGGATAAAGGGGAGAAACAAATGGGACAACTGTAATAGCATAATCAATAAAATGTACTTAAGAAAAAGAAAGAAGCACCACAAAAGCACCACATGGAAGCATTTGCTCCTCAGGACTTTGCTGGCTAGCAGGGAGGGTATGGTGCTTCCCAGCATGGATCTGACCCACCTGCTGTGTTGCAGGGCTCTATGACCTCATGGGCAACGTGTGGGAGTGGACTGCTTCACCATACCAGGGTGCTGACCAGGACATGCGTGTCCTGCGGGGGGCATCCTGGATCGACACATCTGATGGCTCCGCCAATCACCGCGCCCGGGTCACCACCAGGTGAGGAGCTGGGGGCTGAGGGTCTGGGACATGGGCTCCTAGAGCACAGGTGGCACCAGAACTGCTGTTGGCACTGCCTCTGCACCTCTACTCCCACCAGGAGTTGTGGGTACTGAAAAGAAAGCAGGCAGACTTGCCAGGAAAAACAAAACAGTCCAGAACAACTTGTGCCTTTTCTTCTCAGCTCTCAGCACCAAGGGAGACTTTGTGTCCAGCATCTTAATTACATGGGTTTCTCTTCCTGTCCCCATAAGTAGCTGTGCAGAGGCAGGGAAGTAAAATGGCCATGTCAATAGGTCATGGCCATGGGTCATGGAAATATTGATGCTACAAACTGGTGGGCACATGAAAAATCATTTTCTGCAGACATTTTGATTTACAGTTGAGTTAAAAATGGGCTCAGGTGGGTCCCGGGACCTGCTCATTGCACACAGATGGTTAGTGGTGGCACCTAAGTGGTAGAGTCCCAGGCTCCTGGTCTCCTAGAACTTTCTACTTCGTTCATCTGTAGACTTATTTCGCTTGACCTCCCTGCAACTCCTCCTCCTCCTCCTCCTCAGTTCCATAAAGACTGTAGAGGCCACTACTTCTGTATTCTCAGGATATCAGATTTGCAGGTGTTTGTTTCTTTGACCCATAGAGGCACCTGTATTCTCTCACATCCTTGTTAAGGACAAAGAAGTAGAAAAAGCACTGGCCCAGAAACCAGGAAACTGGGTTTGGCATTGATGTTGTGCCACCGAAGCAGTGGTTGGCCTTGGGCAAAAAATTGAACTCTTTCTAGTATCCGATCCTTAGTCTATAAAATGGTGAACAAATCCTGCTTGCCAGAGCAGTTAGAATATAGGGAATAAGGGAGTATATGTGAAATTTCTTGAAAAGCATGCAGAACTGACTGGCACTGTGATATTCTCACTTTAAAAAGAATTTATTGATTGTAGGTGGAGGAAGAAGGGAGAGAAAAAGAGAGGAAAACACTGATTTGTTGTTCCACTTATTAATGTATTCATTGGTTGATTCTTATATGTGCCATGACTGGGGATCAAACTCACAACCCTGGCATATCAGGATGACACTCGAACCAACTGAGTTACCTGGCCAGGACCTATGATATTCTCACTTCTTGTGGACAGGTTTCTTTGGCTGAGTTATTCCTAACTACCAACAGTCAAAGTTATTAGTCATGGACTTTCCTACCCTCCAGTACAATCTCCCAGGACCACTCTTACTTTCTCCACCCTGTTTCAGTGCCACTTCATGTCCCCAGGGGCACCCTCAGACCAGGCTGTTTTCCAGACCATGCCCTTCGCAGTCCTCAGGCATCCCAGACCACTGTAGGCCTTGGGTGGTGGAACAGGAAAGTTGGGTAAGGCCCAAGGCTCCTTTCTCAACAAATGCTCACTCTCCTCTCCTTTGGTGGCAGGATGGGCAACACTCCAGATTCAGCCTCAGACAACCTAGGCTTCCGCTGTGCTTCCGGTATAGGCCGACTGCCTGGGGAGCTGTGAGCAGCCACACAGAGCCAAGGAGAAGACCCCCCGACCCCGGGGTACCTGTGCTGCTCCCTGGCCACATTCCAAAGATAGCCAACTCAAGCTCTTCAGCCTCAGCCTCAGGAGTGACTGCCTTCCCTTCCCCCATCCCTTTGTGACAGGTACCTCTTATGGGGCAGGAGAGACCTCTGACCTCAGAGGAGGCCACTGTCTCTTGGTGAAGGGGCCCAACTCACTGATTGTGGCAGGGAGCTGGGTGTTTCTCTTAGAGGTCAAATATTAACCATATAGGGGCCAAATTCTCTAACAATTGAGGCAGAGTACTCCTAAAAGTAGTTTGTTAAAAAAATGTAAATCTCTTCCCTCCCCCTATCTCAGTGTCTGATTCAGGGATCTGATGGTGTTTTCTCAGGGTAGAATTTCCCCAGTTCTCTGTTTTCCCAGCAAATTACTGTAGAAAAAAAATGCTTCCTTCATTTGTCTCATTTATAGTGTTTTATGTGCTTCTGAAAGAACCCGATTCCCACTAGCTATATGTGAAATGCAGTAACATGGGCTCTTTAAGGCACAACATCAGTCTTTAAAGGGCGAGGAGGCCAAATTGTGAATCGTGGAAGTCACAAAGTAATAGTCTTCCAGAAAGACAAATGTGAGATGTTTTCCTTTCTATTGTTAATTACATAAGGGCTTCTATATGCTTCTAGAAAAACTGTCCTCTTGAGAAGAACCTGCTCCCATGGACGTTGTGAGGCCAGTAAAGTCTCCCGTGATTGTGCATCTCAGACTGTTGCCTGGCCTTCATCCTCATTCTGGGACCCTGAGGGAAGTGCATCCTGGTGTCAGTAGCTCTGGGCCTCCCGTGAGGAGAAGCTGAGGCAGTGGCACAACTGGCAAGAAGAGGAGCAGGAAGGCTCCTGGCAGTCGGACCACATCTGGTCCCCGGCCTGGCCCCAGCTGTACTTCCCACTGTGTGATGGGGGTGCCCTGCTCTCCTGCAGAGCCTCTGAGAGGAGTAATGGCCCAGTCCCAGGAGGCCTTGTTAGGACCAAGTCTGCCCTCAGCACAGAGGCCAGCACACAGTCTCACCCCTTTGACTAACACTTCTGTGGCTTCCCTTCCCTGCCTGCCCCTTACTCCCCCAGCCCTGCCACCAGCACCTCAGTAGTCCTCCTCAGCCAGGGAGAGGAGCACGGCCTTGGGTGTGTTCTCAAAGAGGGCAGCCCGGTTCTGCTGCTGGCCCTTCTTCACCCAGTGGCCGTAGATTCGGAAAGCGTAGGCATCGATGAGTCGGCGCAGAGGCCGGAGGGCATAGGGGTTACGAATGACGATCTCCCGGGTCACAGGCTTCACCCGGTGGTACTGGTAGTAGATCCGCACTGAAGCCAGCACTGTCAGAGCGATCACCTGCGGAGGGCCAGGACTGAGAGCCTGCGCCAGCCCTGGCAGGCCTGTCTCCTCCCGCTCCAGTGCAGGCAAGCCCTGAGCTTGTTTGCCTCGAAGGCTGGGGTGGCTTCCACTGGGCCCCTCCAAGTGTTACCTCCATTACTACCCCATCAGCCAGTCAGGTGACATCTGTCTTCCCCAAAGCCATAAAATTTTCCCAGAACCATTCTGAGTAGATGAGAGGGCAAGGGTGGGTGCCTTGGAAACCCCAGGAGTGTAAGTAGTAGTCTATGGGGGGAAAGAAGAGGACTTGGAGGAGGCTTGGACTTGAGGAGGCAGCAGCAGTGGCCCCAGTGCCCAAGAGTGGGAAGGGAGCTTCAATACCTTGAACTTCCCCCTAGGGCTGAAGTGGCGCACTTCTTCCACATCATACTGCTGGAAGAAGGGATGCGCTAAGGCCTCTTCTGCTGAAAGGCGGCCCTGAGGGTTCACCACCAAGAAGCGGGAAACCTGAGAGAACAAGGGGGTGGGGACTGAAAACATCAAGTCAGGATCCCCTGTAGCACTTCAGAAGACAGAGGGTGCCTCCTAGCAGACTCTCATACTTTCCTCCCCCCATGGTGGATCCCCCGCTTTGCCTGAGCCCAGGAGCCAGCAGGCCTGGCCCCTCACCAAGTCTTTCACGGTGTCGGAGTAGTCATCCCACTCAGGTGAGCCAAACTGGTAGTTGCCACTCATGATCATCCTCAGCATCAGCATCTGCTTCCGGTGCCAGAAGGGCGGGGAGCCGGCCAGCAGGGTGTACATGATGACCCCTGTGCTCCACCTGGCAGCAGGTGGGTGGGGAGGAAGGCAGGAGGGCTGGCTGTAGCCCCAGCCAATTCCCCTCCGCAGTCAGGGTTTCTGGTCACGGTGGCATCCCTTCCCCTCCCCAAACACACTCACATATCCGCCTCCTTCCCGTAGCCTGGGTGGTCATCGTTCATGGAGCACTCAATGATCTCAGGGGCCAGGTAACTGGGAGTGCCACAGATCTCTGTGGGAATAGTTACCATCAAGATAGGTCAGCCAGGGCACTTGGAAGAAGGAGGTGCAAAGAAATAAGATGGAACCAAAATGGTGTTTGGGCTGGGACTCTCCTAGCACTGGCCAAATTCAGGGCCAAGGGGAGGGACCAGGGGTGGCTCATAGGGCCACCCACTTGGGACCTGTCAGTTCCCTGGTTACATCTAGCCATTCTGGCCTAGAACTCAGGAAGTGAGAACATGGCTCAACTCAGTCCCAAGAAGAGGTCCTGCCTGAAAAGACACCCAGCCTTGAAATGATAGGATTTTTATTCTGAGGGTCGGAGGAGGAAGTAAGGGAGAAACCCGGGCAATCTCTGTTCCTGGGAAAGTTGATGAGAAAGCCTGAGCCCCTGGCATGGGCCAAGGCCACGTTACCAGACCTCGTAGCTTCTGTCCTGGCTCCAGCTGGCAGGAAAAGCCAAAGTCTGTGAGCTTGATGTTCATGTCATCATCCAAGAGGATGTTCTCGGGCTTCAGATCCCGATGTACGATGTTGAGTTTGTGCAAGGTGCAGATCACCTCCAGTAGGGACCTCATAATCTTCCTGGGGTAGGACAGGCACATGTTATCTCCTACTCTACAGGGTCAGGTAGCAGGCCGGGAGACCAAAGCCCACATACCAGCCAGACTGCAAGTGAGAGAGGACTCAGGATAGCCTGGGACAGTCTAGGCTGAGCCAAGGAGGGAGGTCACAAAAGCCAGTGGGGCACACCCCTACCCAGACACATGCACTCCATTCCCCCTCCAAGCCCTTGGTGCCTGTGGCACTAGGACTCGGGCAGGGATGGGGGAGAGGGGCAAATGGATCCTCACCTGGTTTCCTTCTCACTCAGGGTGACCTTCTCAGTGAGGTAATCAAAGAGCTCCCCTCTCTTCATCCTGTGGGGACAGAGGGTTTGTAGCTGGATTGGTCCCAAGACCACTCCCTCTTACCCTGCTTCCCGAGAGCTGTTTCTCACACTAATACCTCCAGAGGCAAAGGACCAAGGTCTGCAGGGAGGAGCGGGGAGCGAGTGGACAGGTTGTCTGGGAAGACAGGAAGAAGCATGAGGGAGGCTGGAGGGGTGGGATGGCCCAGTGTGAGGGTTTCCCCCTATCTGTGGAAGTGACGGCATGGACTGGGGTGTATCAGGACTGGGAGGTGAAACACTGGCCCAAGGGCCCAGACCCAAATCAGAAGGACAGGAGTATCCTGACTTTTTTCAGGAACAAACAGAAGTGGCAGTACAGGTGTTGGAGGAGCAGTTTGGTCTATTTTAGGATTAAGAATTGCAGTTCAATCTTCTCACTTCTTGGGATGATATATAAAGAGGTCTCTGCTAGAACAATCTTGTTATAACATGGAGGGCAACTTGGGGCAGCATTAAAAATAGATTCCCTAAGCAACTTCTTCAAAGGTTAGAGACATCTGAGCTGCCCCCAAGGACAGTGCCACTGAGCAGAGCTGGGACAGCTGAGGCCAGGCCAGTCTGAAGGGCCCTGGGAAAGTCTTCCAGGGATAAACAGGAAGGTGCACCCTGCCCCCTCTTGCCCACCTGCACTCCAGCAAAAGATTCCTAGGGCACAAGGGACTTTGCCAGTGTTACACAGAGGCAAGGAAACCATTGAGCTTAGTTGCTAGAGCAGGGAGGGGGGTTCTGTTTGAGGAAACAACCTAGAATTTACAAAGATGAGCCTTGTTTTATACAATCAATACCTGTACTGTGGTCCTGAAAAGCAACATGTGAATCCAGTTTTTGTCATTTTAATTCCACTTTAAAGACACTAGGAGGACTCACTATTAGCAATAGCAGCAGCAGCAGCAGCAGCAAAAAGATTTACCTGTAAGTACTGGGGACTATGCATCAGCAGGCTCCTGCCTTCCTGGCGCTGGTGGGTTAATTGTATACACATGCCAAGTTAAATTGTTTCTCCAGGTAAAATAATACTGCTTACGTTCAGCATGGCTACTGCATGGAGTGTTACAACAGTACAAAATCTACTTGAATAATTTCCCAGGAAATCAAAGCCCCAAACTAGCTGTTATGTTTGGAGAGATCAAGACATCCTTTAACAGTGAATCACACAGCAGAGAGTTCTGTTCTTTAGGGAGGACTCAGTGGAGTGAGGAAGAAGGAGTCAGAGAGCTCCTTTCCTTGGGACCCTTTCCTAACAAAAACAGTAATAATGACTGAATGCACCATTCACAGAGCACTTCGTGTTGCTCAATTTTGATGCTTAGAGACTGGTGACCTAGGCAGAGTGGTCAGTATCATTGGTCCTTTCTTGAGAAAACAGAGGAGCTCATGTCAGTAGCCCTGCTGGTGCAGCAGCCGGGGACCAGGGACATGGAAGAGGACACTGAGGTCTGTCTGAGAACTGCACCCCAAATACAACCTCTACCTCCCTGGTGGGTCTCTTGCCTCAATATTGCTGCCTCCTCCTTTCCACTCTGGCCTCCTGAGAGTCAGTGGGACCTTTTCCAAAAGTGAATCAGCTCACATTACCCTCCTGATGTCCCCCTCCAAAGTCCTTACCATGGCTGAAAGGCCTGCTGAATCAGGTCTGTGGTGCTGACTGATCTTGCATCCTGCCATCAGCGAGAGCTTGCTCCACTCCCCAACCCTGGCTTCCTCTCCAGCCCTCCAACACACCGATCCCCTCCTGCAGGGCCCCTGCTCTGACTCTGTCCACTGGAAGGCTCCCTCTCTAGGCCTTGGTCAGAGTCCTCCCTCACTTCATCCAGGTCTCTACGCAGGTCAGAGAACCTTCCCTGACCATGTCATCTAAAGGAAAGAAGCCCTGTGTCTCTCTAACTGCAGTTCACTTTCATGTATTATATATGTACATAACTACATGTATGAATTGTGGCTTGATGCTCTCTGTTCACTGCCTGGGGAAATTATTGCATGAAGTCAGGAACCTTATCTATCTTGTTCATTGCTGTATCCTCAATGTCTAGAAAAGTATTGAATGACCAGCATATCATTGTTGAAGCTAATAGTTATTAGCATTTACATGGTGTCAGGAACTGTGCTATCATTACCCCCACAATACTGATGAGAAAGAAAACTGATGCTTAAAACACCCAGTGCATAAGTGGAGCCAGGATGTAAAACCTGGCAGACTGACCCCAGGGGCTGATCTGCCTAAAGCATTTGTGATCCTATTTGGCATCCATAGTGTAGCAGACCAGCTGCTGGTCCCCAGGAAGCCCTGGATGGGGAACCACAATGCTATGCCCTCAGGGTATGGCTGGCACCAGGGTTGGGTACTTACAGATCAAACACCAAGAAGAAGAAAGTGTTGTTCTCATAAGTGTCCTTCAGCTGTACTGAAATGGAAATGGCTGGCTTGTCTCAGGGAGCAGAGGAGCCTGGGCAGAGGCAGTGGGGCAGGGGGATTAAAGCTGCTGGAGCTGGCTTCAAAAGTGGAGGGGGTATCTGGAAGGCACTCAAAGGAGGCCCATGGGGGCAAGGGGTTAGGCTCAGGGACTTCACACCCCATTCCCCCACCCTCCTCCAGCCCCAGCCCTGCCCATGACTCCTTTTGTCTGGCTGCAAGAGGGGGCTGAGAGCGAATCCCAGAGAAGTCTTCCTGGAGGTTGGAGCTGGGAACCTCAGGCCTCAGGGCATGGGGCTGGTGGGGCCTCAGGGTGCAGGAGGCACTCTGAACTGTTCTGGAGAGCCACACAGTGGGGCTGCACTCCCTGACTTGGGTTATCAGGGTAGGAGCAATGGCGGAGCACCCTGCTGTGGCTTGGAACCATTACTCACTTATGTTGGGGTACCCTGACACCTTGCGCAGGATGTCCACCTCCTTCAGCGTGGCCTGTCGCAGTTCCTGCACCTCCTTGGCACTGAAGCTGCCCCCGCCGGTGATGTCAATGATCTTCACGGCGTACTCCTGGCACGTGGGCTTGTGGATACAGCGCCTGACGACACTGCTAACTCCCCTGGGAGGTGCAGAGGACAGATGGTCCCTGGGCCCCTCACTCCAGGGTTTGTCCCAAGTCCAGGCCCCAGCAGAGATGTCCTGCTTTGTCCCCAAACTCCCTGTGAGCCTTAGGGGCGGTAAAGTAATTGGCCCAGAGCTGATGAGTAACAAGCCTGGTGTCAGGCCTCTTAATTCCCAGTTTAGTGTTCTTTTGCACATGGGCCAAAGCTTCCTCTGACCCCCGGCTCCTGACCCTGGCCCAAAGCTGACTTTGCACCTGCTTGTCATCAGCACCCTTCAGGGTTGTGGGAAGCTCTTTGCCAGGAGACGTCTCTGATTTGCATACCCTTATACCCCCTTATCTGTCCTGTTCAGGAAAGAACCCAACTGAGGGATTCTCCAAGTGCATGGTGCTTTGGGGATGGAAATGGGCTCTGTGCTCAGGGGCAAGCAGAGATTGGCCCACCCTGCAGAGCTGGCTGGAGCCTAGGACAGCATTTCCCTTGGAAAGTCTGGGCCTTACCTGCCCAGGATCTCTTTGGTCTCATAGTTCTCATAGAAACCCTGTGCGGAATGTGAGTCCGGCAGTGCCTCGTCCCGTGTCATGCTCAGCTCCGTGGAGGTGATCCTGAAGGGCTCTGAGAGGGGAACAGAAAGAAGCAGTCAGCCTTCCTGACCTAGAGGGGTGTGCTCTTTGAGGGCTGGAACTGTTTTTCACCCATCTTTGTCTTTCTTGGCACAGGCCTGGCTTATTGTAAATATTCAAAATAAATGACTTTGAGTTGGAAAAACATTCTGAAAAGAGCCCAGCATTGTTCTTCGCACTGGCTGTAAACTCTTGTAGCCCAGGCGACTGTGTCTCCCTGCACATTCTCACTGAAAGCTGCTGCCCCCTTGTAGGAGAGAGATCGAGAATCAGCCAGGCCTAGGCCCTGACCCAGGGCTGTGACAGAACATCAGGCAATCAGGCCCCACGGTTAGCCTTGAGGAAGCAGGCACACCCTCGATTTTAGAAAAAAAACACAGAGAAACTCTTCAGAGGACAAACTAAAGTGCTGTTTCCTTTCCTCTGTGAGGAGATGAGGCTAATGCTTCTCTTTCTCTGCCTGCTCTCTGCACTTGTGGAAAAGGCAAAAAGCTTCATAATTTCACCTTTTTTTATTTTTTAAAAATCCTCACCCAAAGATGTTTATTGATTTGAGAAAGAGAGAGAATGAGAGAGAGAGACATTGATCAGTTGCCTCCCATACACACCCCAAACAGGGATGGAACCCACAACCTTTTGGCGTATGGAATGATGCTCCAACCAACTGAGCCACCTGGCTAGAGCACAATTTCTTCTTAATAAGCAGCTCTTACAGCCTCCCCTTACCTATCCCTGTCCTAACTGTCTGAATCTGAAAACACCCCTTCTTTCAGAACATGCTTCCAGACCTTCCCAGTGCTCCTTCCTCACTCACTTTGTCCTTAACATGGACTTTCAAATTACTCTTTTGTTCATTCATTCTTCTATGCTCTTTGCAAAGCACTGTGTGAGACGCTCTGAGGGATGCAGAGCTTGATGCAGAAATCCTGGTCCTGGCCTCTGGTACCACTTGTTGGTGTGTGCTGTCATCTCCCCCATTACACTGTGGTCTTCTCTAGGGTGTCCCACCCCAGCCACCCCACCCCTCTGTGTCCAGTGCAGGCATGTAGCAGGTGCAGCTCCCTAGAGGAGAGTTGATTGTTGGAGGTATCCCTTTCATCCATGGTCCTATCTCCAGAAAGCCCCCATCCTACCTAACAATGGCCAGCGAGCCCCAAGGGGTCCTGCCACAGTGTGAGGTGTACAGAGCTAGGACACTCAGCCCTGGACACAGAGGAGCTGAGCCAGCCAGCTTTGCTTCGCTATGTAGAGGCCTCTGGTGTACTGACCTCAGATGAAGGATTTGAGGAATGGAAAGAGTTATCTACCAATAGGAAGAAGAGCAGACAGAAACAATGGACACAAGTTACCACTCAGCAGGGCCAAAACTGCCTCTAGCCCCACTTCTACTGCCCTTTCAGGGCCCAGCAAGGCCTGGCCTGTCAGAGGGGCCAATCTGCTGACCAGCCAAGCTGCAGCCCTGGCTGGCTGTTCCAGGAAGCCTGGTGTCCCCACTGCTGGGTGTCTGGTTGTGAGAAGAAGGATAGGAATAACAGTCTCTTCTGCCAGCAGCAGGTGCCAGAGCTGTTCACGGCTGCCTCTGCCCTATCAGCAACTTCAGCTGAGCACAGGCGAGCCTGTCTCCATAAAAACAAGTTGACTGATTTCCTGGCAAGTCCTTTTAAGTTCCCAAAGCTGGGTAGCACCAGCTCTTTTCCTTTCCCCATTGCTCCATGGACAGAGGGTCTATCTGAACCTACCACAGGATGCCATCCTGGCTGGGGGATCCATTCCACAGCCGGGACATCAGGCCATCAGGCCATCAGGCTGCAAGGTTAGCCAGGTGCAGCGAATTCTGACTGCATTCCCTCTCCTGGGAGTGGGGGTGGGGACGTTTCTCTTGCCTCCTGCCCTTGCTCTAGGCCTAACTTGGGGCTGATTTTGTGCCTCCGTTCACTGTCCCCACCTGCTCCCCTCACACTCTTCCCTAGACCCCTTTGAAAAGGGTCAACAAATGGGTTTAGTCCTTTCTGGAGTAACATCCCTCCCCCAGACTCAGAGTCTGAATACACAGTCACAGGGGCCCACTTTCTATAGATAAATTCCTTTGGAGGGAGCTTCAACAGCCAGTGCTGTCTCTCTTCTGTCCATCTGCCTTCAGAAGGGTGGGTGGGGCTAATGGTTTTGGGGGTCTCTATCTTCTCTGCCCCATAGCCTCTCCCGCTCCCTGTCTGTCGCCTGGCTTTTGTCCACCACTGCACCAGCTACTCACCGTTAGGTCCTCGCAGGCCCTTGAGTGAACTTGACGGGAATCACAAAGGTCCCAGAGCCCCTTGAGGAGAGGGGACAGCAGGACTGAAGTGTGTCCCAAGGAGACACTCGTGGCCGAAGCAGGATATTTCGCTGCTCCTCCTTCGTGCTTTGCTACTTGAGGCAAGGCTGAGGTGCCAAAAATAAATCACAACTGCAAACCCGGGATGCAGGCCAAGTCTCACCAGGGGTGACCTCTGGCGGAGGGTGAGGGAAGTTCGGGTGACTTGGGATCAGGCATGGCAGCATGAGGTAGCCAATCTTCCCTCTGGAGCTCTTTTTGCCTCCAGACCCAGAGGATATAAAGCCAACCTGCTTCTCTGGGAGCAATTTCTGTGTTTTCGGTGATCAGGAAAACAGCACACTGGTGCACCCACACCGCTGTGTTCAGACCTGCTCATCAGGATCTGCTCAGGGACAGTTTGTGCGGCTGCCTGACAAACTGCGAACCTTAAAGGTTAGGGAACATCTCCTTCAGGAGTTGACCTCTGATCTGCCTCCATGATTTCACCCTTAATTCATTTTGTTTTCAGCCTGCAGTATCTTCTGGGGAGAGTTCTGCATGCTAGGAAAAGCATATGGGCTGTGTGACTTGGGCTCTTTGGGTGAGGGTCCTCATCTGTATGACTCTAGTCTTAAGAGGCTGACAGAATTGGAAATAGTGTATGAAACATGCTGGCACACAGTAGACACTTGTTTATTGCTCTCCCTATTTCTAAAGCAATCTTTCTTCAACCCCTTCATTCTAATATACAAAATGAAAGGAGGGGCAATATGGTGCTTCATGAGCTGAGCTCATAATCACCCATTTGACTAGCATCTCACAAAGCACTTATCTTGGACCTCAGAACTCTGAAACTAGCCAATTTCCAGAGAATGTGACTTGTTCACCACCAAAACAAAAACTAAATGAGGACCTAGGTTAACCCCAGACGTGGGCCCAAGTACTCTGTGTTCTGTCATGCTGACCATCTAATTTTCACTCAGGAAATACTTCACTATATCGCTACACAGAAAGAAACTGAAAATGACTTCAGGGTATGAGCTTTATGCATAAAGGTCTTCAGCTTGAGATGAAATATGTGGGATGAAAACATCTCCATCTCCTTCTTTTACTTCCTGGTTTTTTTTTTTTCCTGATTCTAAGCTAGTAAGACTTGACTCATGCTAGTTTGTTTTCAGTGCATGAGAAACTCCCTTCTGACCTAAGGGCAAAAGGACACTGCACCTAGAGGATTATCCTGTGCCCTTTTCCGTGGAGCCATGGTTCCTACCAGGGGGGCCAGGCCAGCCAGACCTTTACACTTTAATGTCAGTGATTCAGCTTCCTTTGATTCACAAGTTCACTGATAATATTTGGGTACTCACTACACACCATCACACCTTGGACTTAAGGGCATTAACACTATGAATTTAGAGGTCCTGAGCCTCCAGGAAAACAGGCAAAGGAGCTTCCTCATAAACCCAGGCGGGAATATGCTGGAACACTAAGAGTGAATTGTCTGTGGTCATTCAGATGCTCAGGTCAAGGAAGTCTTGGCCCCTCTTTGGAACTAGATGATTTGGTGGAACATGGCACTCTAACAACAGTTGAGAATAGGAGGCAACTGGGTAATTCCCTCATCCAACATCAACCCACTCAGCTTGTAAAGGTCTCTTAAGACTTGGCGGTGGGGCAGGGGGCGGAATCAGGAAACAGAACCTCTGAAAGTTACATTTTAAAGTTGGGAAAGTACAGAAGCGAGATGTAGGCTTAGAGGCCAACTCCTAAGTGAATAAAATGTTTAGTTCTTTTGAGGTTTGGAGCTTGGTTCATTTAAAAAAAAAATGATGTGCCTCAAACATTAGAAAAACATTTGCAGAGGAACTGCCTGCATTAATAGAATGGTTTTCATCTCTCACCAGCTAATTGGGTATTCTAGGGTAACAGTGACATGTAGTGTTGACCTGGCTGCAGAGAACCCATTTATCGATCATTCACCCATTTATCGATCATTGGAACAATTATTTTAAACAGTTTCTTGTTACTGCTCAGTTTATTGAACACTGACTCCCAAGACTAAGAGTGATGGGAACCTTTTTAATGAGCAGCGTGTTTGCTAGTGAACTACTCCTTATGTAACTATTTCTCCACAAAAGTTCCTCAGGAAGCTCTACCAGATCCCCTGGGTGTATGCTCCTTTACTGTCCAGAGACTATAAACTAAATAAACTTAAATACATGTTGAGACAATTAAGTTCTGCAAAATACTTAAGTTCCACATGCATATACCATATCTAATTTATAAACTTACATTTATCAGACACCATTTTGGAAGAAATTCACTTTATTCTAATTGATTCACAAACAACATCACAAAAGTTGGTTTCAGGAGGCCACACAAACATTTGCCCAGCCCCAGACTCAATACCACCTCAGGGAGCTTCTATATAGTAAGAACACTCTTCCACTGCAATTCTGAGGCAAGGAAACTATTAATGATAGGAGAGGTTTAACTGGTACGCTTATACTTTCACTATCAATTATATCTTTATACTAAATTAACTTGGGTCATGAGAGATGATTTTCCATTTCTTCAATATGAACTCGATTAGGCTAATCCTGCAAACAAACAAAAAAAAAAGCACATTAGAAGAGCACTTGCTGTACATTCTTAACAGAAGCCCTCCCCAAAACCCAGGTTTCTTTCGTAAGTTACTGAAGGTATCCTGAAACCAACAAAACCTCAACTCTGCATTCACAACTGAGGAGACAGGGCACCTGTGCTTCTGGGGACAGAGTCCTGAAGCAGACATTTAGCCACTGTGATGCTAGATGTAGCTTCTCCAGAGAATTCTGATAAAAGTGGACACACAGTCTCTTCCTACTTCCATAGTTCAACCACCTGAAAGGGGTAACTTCTCCCTTATGCCCTACCAAAATGAAGGTGGGAAAATGAAAATAGCATTTTAATAGATAGTGAATTCTTAGGTTGATAGGAGGAAATTAAATGACAACCAGATGACATTCCAGAAAGCCTAAATCTCAGCTCCACTGAATGATTTAATAAGTTCATCCCTCTCAGATGAGGCATGTAGAATGGCAATATCAGAGTCTTTATGTGCATTCCTGGGACTCTGGTGAAATGGAATTTTGTATTCATAGCCTTAAGTTGAGATCACTCACATGCAATTAGCACAGTAAGATCTGACGTACTAATCTATACTTGTTTAAGGAAGAATCAGATTCAAAACATAACTGGTAAAAGATTAAGATAATGACTGGAAATGACCTCTGGACCAGCTCCTAGTTAGAAGTTAGCTCATTTTTAAAGTAATTTTAACAAAATCTTCTCTAATTTGTTGGTTTAATTTATTAAACACAGATTCCCTAAGTTTCACAGGGTCCAGGAGCACCACCACTGAACAAATCGAGCACATGCCAAGTTCAATCATGGAATGATGTATCACCTACCATTTGCAAATCTGCACTGTTTCAGCACCTCACTGAAACCCTCACAAAGCTTAAGGTCACTCTGATTCTGTGCACACTCCAAAAACTGTTTCATCTCATAGTGGCATGGGCCAAACTGCTGCTGCTGGTATTCCGGCTGAGTTCCCTGAGGCTCCTGCAAAGACACAGCATTCAGGAAGGTTTAGGAAGGAAATCAGATTTATAACTGAACAAGAGCAGCATCCACTGTCTTTGAGGTTAACTGGGCAAACAGAACTAAACCTAGTGGCAAACTGAAGTTTCCATCTAATAACATGGAAAGTAAAATATTTTCAAGGCAGAAAATGAACTTTGGCAGAATTCCAGTTGTAATCACAAAGACTCAAGAATAAAGGTACAAATAAAGTGAAATGGCTACCTGAACATTTAATGACCAGTGGTTTAGTGAAGTTTCATGGAGGAAATAAATGGGACTGTTATAAAGTAAAATAAAACAGTATACACCCATGCTCTTCAGGCAAAATTCATATACCTCAGGAGGGGCAGGTAAAAGAGATCAGAGAGCAGATAGCTATTCAAGAGATTTTAAAAAATACTTAACTAAGATTGAGACTGAATTAGTTAGGGGTAACCAAGACAAAAATATTTAAAATAAGAAAAAATGGCTGCTTTACACTGAATCAGGTCAAACTACTACAATTCTACTCCTTGGGAAGAAATACAATTTGTATAGTACTTGCTGATGCTGGCCTAAGGCATTAATTCAGTTGCCAAATGTGGCTTTTGATAAAACATTTTTTTGTTAGCAGCACTGTGGATAAACAGTTCTTACACATAAGAAACATACAAAAAAACTAGGTTTTCTCATAAATTATACCACTGAAGGGTAACACTGTCCAAAATCTTACCTGGTAAGTGATGTCAGGCCTTGAGGTCTCAGCATTGCTTCCTCCACTGAAGCCCCCAGTAATGGCATGACCTATTGTGTGGCCGACAGCAGAGCCCACAGCCACACCAGCTGCTGTGGTTGCCATCTGGGCCATGAGACCTGGCTGCCTGGGGGCTGCAGCAGGTGAGCCCACAGCAGATGGTGGAGCTGGCGCTGGTGGCTGAGCTGCTGGAGCTGGCCTGGGTGCAGCTCTCATCTGAGGTGCCCGGCTGTAAAAAAACAAAAAATATGCAGTTTTTACTTCCAACCAGGTTTGGAAATTGTCAACTTAAAAAAAAACTTGTACATTAAAGTATCAAGATTTTCATTTTAAATTATTAAACATAAATACTATACACATTCACAAAAAAACTTCATAGAACACAATTTCCTAAATGATTTCATTACATTTTTTCTCTTTAACCTTTGGTTAAGGTTGTAATCACCAACTATAAACTATTTTTTTTCTGCTTTTTGGCAACCATTTCCATGTAGTCACATAGCCCACAGTATCTTTAAATAAGTTTTTTCAATACTTCATAAAAATTACAAAATATTACGAGTTTAAAATATCCTCACAGAATTTATCACGTGTTAGAAAAAAAAATATCAAGAGAAGAGCCTGTTGTGGGACGCTGTAATTTAAGGATTGCCAAGGGAGGTAGTCATCTGGGGGAATAGTCTAATTTAATTCCGACTAGAACACTGAAGCCCACTGACTAGAAGTGACTTGCCTGAACTGTTATACCAAAATTAATTTCAACTATTTCTCACCTGTAGGACGTTTGGACACTTCCAACAATTTAACTTATATGTCCCAGGCTGCTTTAAAAATCTTCACATATATTATACTCTCTCTACCCATTTTTAGATTGTTTCCTTGGGTGTTCTTCCCCCAAATAAGGCCAGGTCAAAAGTTTATGACTTCACTTCATAAAAATGTGGTTACTTGTCCTTTGGATAGAAGTTTCTTTTCCTAAGTGAATCGCTCCCCTACACTCCTAGCACACTGTATGATTGTAATCCAGTGAAGCAAGATGAACTGTGATAAATGTCCTGAATTAGTCACTGGAAGCCAGGGTCTGAGACCTGGCTTGCCTACTTACTGGAGGTATGACCTTGGACAAGTCATTTATTCTGAGTCTGTTTCCTAATTTCCTTGAAGTAGAAAGAACATCGATCTCTAGAGTTACCATGAGGTGTCATTGGCAGTACATATTTCAGCTATGTTATTAACTAGAAAACGTCATGTAAACGTTGAGGGCCTTAATGACTGCGTCCCCAATTAGGCTGAGACCCTAAATCGCTCACTGCTTAAGACAGGTGCTCAAAGACTATTCAATGAATTGAAACTCGATCACTTTCCCGATTGTATTACCTTTCTTCTACATTTTTTTTTTTGCCTCTGACATTTCAGCTTGTTTACACTTACAAATGTCCATTTCTTTTTACAACTTCTGTTTTAAATTAAAACGAGTTATGAGGTGTTTTAAACACTTCACGAGCATTTGCCACTAACGGAAAATCTAGCCAAAGCCTATTTACTGCCAGCTTGCGACGGGCGGGTTCGGGCCCACCCAGCAGCAGCTTCCGCCAACCTCCGCCTGCCCCGCCGAGGCCTAGCGCTACCTGCCTCTGCGTCACAGCGGCCGCAGGGCCCAAAACCCCGCAGTGGCCTCACCTGGCCGGAGGGGCCACGCGGGAAGTGCGACTTCGGCTTCCACGCGGCATCGCTACTGCGCTGCGGCTCTGCGTCTACAAGTGCGAAACGAGGTGAAGAACCCGGCGCCTTCTGGAGCCCAAGAACGGAAAACAGGAGGCGGGCTGTCCGCACGCAACCAATCATCAAACAGGCAGAGCCCTTCCGTTGCTGACGTCTCTGTCGGTCCTGAAGGTCACTGGAAGAACAGGAGGAGGCGTGGCGCCTCCGTTGCACGCGGTGGCGTCAGGAGCTGGACGCCGGGACTCTTTAGAAAGCCGGAAGTGCCTTGACTGCTAGGTTAACCTTCTGTCCCAGCCTAGCTTGAGTCAGAAGGGCTTGCAGGTTTGCTTCTAGCATAAGGACCATTGCTGCTTCCTTCAAACATTTGTTTTATTAACGTGGTACGTCAAATCCAACCTTGAGAGATTGCTGTCGGGACTATCACTGGACCTTGGGCGAATTACTTAACCTTTCTTAGCATGATTCGGATAATATTTTTTGAGGCACAGTGGGGCACGTAATATGAAATGAAGGAAGTTGAACTTTAGGCAGGAATCGACAGTACAGAGTGCATTTCTTTTGTCTGTGGATCCAGTCAACAAAAGCTAGCTTCAGACTGTAATAGTGCCTTACATTTATGTATACTATACATTTTCAACCCGTTTCGTGTTTTGGAATTTGTGGCCGTAATTGGGATAGTATTCACTGGTAAACAGATGTTCTGATCAAATGCCAGCTAGCTCAGTTTGATAGGGCACTCAAGACTTGGAAAATTTTAGCTTAAGGTAAAAAGCTGTAAGTCTAGCAAGTAATGTGTATGTTAAGCTTTTGTTTCAGAAACTACAGATAAGGCCCACCCTGGCTCCTGGGAGAAGCAGCTGACCTCCTGGGGCACTGGTTAGAGATTACCGCCTGGGGACATGTTGGAGGCATCTGGGCGTTTTGTGTGACCAACCCCCACCCCTTGGAAACCGCTAACTCCCGAGACTAGGAATGCTGCAGCTTCGCTCACCTAATCCTCCCTGAATTTCAAAGCCCTCACCCCACCTTGTTTGTCGTCCCCCACCCCCTTATAAAAGATCTGGCCAGGAAAGAGAATGGAAGATGGTTTGTTAGGGTATGAACCCGCCATCTTCTTGGATCGCCGGACATCTAAATAAAGTGCTCATAAAAGATTCAATTGCTGTCATTGCTTATTGGATTTGGTAATGACAGGCAGCTCGAACACTGGTGTCTTTTCCGGTTACAAGTTTAGGGAGGGAGGCACAAACACCTATATAACTCAGGTGGTGGTGACATGAAGTAAAAGCAGGGTAAGAGAGATTTATGTTGAAGAGGACTGAATTCTTTGAAGACTGCGATACTTGAACAGAGTCCTTGAAGTGGGGGAGCAAGCCATGTGTTTATGAAGGGTAAGAGCATTCCAGGCAGAGGGAAGAGCAATTGCACAGGTCCCAAGGGTCTGTGCTTTAGTAGTAGTTGGTGTGAAATGCTTTTAACAATAACAGTTTAGAGCCTCTGCAGTAGGGGGAAAGCTGACTAGTGCATTTCATGGGAAGGTCTTTGGAGCTGGGATGGGATTTGTGGAGAGAAAACTGAGGTGGAATCTCTGTTTCTACTGGATATCCACCAGAAATTTCCCCTTCTACTGGAGGTAATGGAGTTTAACACAACCTTTCCAGCAACAGCAGGATGTTTGTGGAACCAAGGGGTAAATGCAAAACCTTTTCATGAAAAAGTTCTATTTTCATAGGACTTCCTAAAGAAATTAAAGCTTTCTAAATGGTAAGACTTTGTAGTTGCCTTTGGATAATTCATATGCAGAGACAGAGAAAAGGAACTTAATAAAGGACGCCCTGGCACAAGAACTTACAGGGAGAACTTTGGGTAATCAAGACAGACAGGCAATTTTAATATCTCGACTAAGCATTAATTCAAATTGAAGAGAGAATATTAAATGTTTGTACAAGGTTATTTTATGATAGTAGAAAACTGGAAACAGCCCTGGCTGGCGTAGCTCAGTGGATTGAGCGCGGGCTGCAAACCAAAGTGTCTCAGGTTCGATTCCCAGTCAGGGTACATGCCTAGGTTGCAGGCCATGACCCCCAGCAACCGCACATTGATGTTTCTCTCTCTCTAGCTCCCTCCCTTCCCTCTCTAAAAATAAATAAATAAAATCTTAAAAAAAAAAAAGAAAACTGGAAACAACCTAATAATCCTGTTAGAATTATGGATACAAAAATCATGGCACAGCCCTGGCTGGTATGGCTCAGTGGATTGAGCGCTGACCTGCAGACCAACGGGTTTGATTCCCAGTCAGAGCACATGCCTGGGTGGCAGGCCAGGTCCCCAGTAGCAGGTGTGTGAGACGCAAGCACACATTGATGTTTCCCTCTCTCCCTCCCTTCCCCTCTCTAAAAATAAAAATCTTAAAAAATCATGGCATTCACACAATATAAAAAATAATAAAGAAGCTTCTCTATTGATATGATTTCTAAGATAAACTACCAAGAGAAAAAAAAGAGCAAGGGGCAGGATTAAGTATAGTATAGTTTGTGTAAAATGGAAAAGACCATATTGCATATGCATAAAATGTCTGCAGCTGTTAATGCTGCTTGCCTTCAGGCAATAGGACTGGGTATCTGTGGCACAGGTATAGAACTTTTACTGTTAACATTTTCTATCTTTTGGGTTTCTGTTTGAATAGAGGGAATAATTAATGTATTCCCTCTATTCAAAAAACAAAAACCTGCCAGAAGTTAATTAAAACTAGTTTTAAAAAGCAGAAATTGAAAATAAATACTGGAATTCTGCCACATATCACTTGTAGTTTGCTGGAGAGATGTGGTCAAGTACAGTCTTTAGTAAAGTTTATGTAACAACTTCTTATTTCATAGTGATTTCAATCAGTCTCAGCAAATTCTCTTGTGGTGACCATAATTTGAACAAAGAACTCTTATAGACATTATTACAGATATTTGACAGACATTTGGCTGAATGGACTCTTGATGATTGCAGCAAAAATTCTACTCAAATTAAGCAGTAGATAACATAAGTTTTGAAATTGTGCATTCCCTCCCCTGTAAAATGAAATAAAATAGTGAAAACTCTGTTCCAGAAATTTCATGTCTAGGAATGTAAGAAACAGCAGTAAAAGAAAGAAAGAAAAATAGTCATATGTGAAAAGAAATTAGTTATAAGGATGTTTAACAAAATATATAAAATAGGAAAAACCTGTAAACAACCTAAGTGTCCTATAATATAGAATTAAATAAATTATACATATATGTAAGGTGCTATGCAGCCATTTAAAATGTTGTGAAAGAATATTTGACATGAAAGGTATCTTCACAATATGTTAAGTGAAAGCAGTTTACAAAATAGTATACATAGTATATTTATATTTTGAGAAAATTTATATATTTTAAATACTGGCATTATATGCAACCAAGGAGTGACATTATCCATTGGGTAGTGATTTCTTCCTGTATTTTTGTCCATATTTTCCAATTTTTCTTCAATGAATATATCTATATTAAACATACCATGGTGATTTAAAATATCCACAAATTGATTATTTCTTTCAAAAGGTAGAGACTGCCATGGCTGGTGTGGCTGAGTGGATTGAGCACTGGCCTGCAAACCAAAGGTTTTCTGGTTCCATTCCCAGTCAGGGAACATGCCTGAGTTGAGAGCCAGGTCCCCAGTAGGGGGTGCTTGAGAGGCAAGCACACATTGATGTTTTTCTCTCCTTCTTTCTACCTTCCTTCCTCTGTTTAAAAATAAAATAAAGTCCTTTTTTGAAAAGGTGGAGCCTGACTCCTTTCTGAGGGGAACTTCAGCCCTCGAGATTCCCAGGGGCTGCAGTAGATGGAAATAGTCATCCTGGATGCAGTCTTGTTGCTCCTGCTGGAAAAGGGGTGGCGATTCCCTCTAGTGAAGAATGCCCCAGCCCTTCTCTCACATGGCTTTTATTAGGGTTGGGAAGTGCAGGGGGATACAGCACAGTGCATAGCTTATCAATCAGTGTCTAACAGGCTATAGTCATAAAAAACTAACACTATCTATAGATAACAATTAGAGAAACACAGAAATCTTTTCAGGTTGGAGTTTGTGAGACATGCAGGTGCCAGATAGCTGTAAAGGCGTATATCATGAAGTAGGGAGTTTCACTTCTTATGCCCTTATGCCTTGAACTCAAGCATCCAGGTTATAGTAACAGGGCTTATCACTGCATAGAGCCTGCTTCAGAGGACAAAAATGTACATTTCTGGCCTGATTCCCATGGGACCCTCAGTGTTAGAATTGAGTCATGCCTGCCACCTGCATTATGACCTGGTTTTCCAGGGAGACTTACCAGCCCCTTTCAGAGCTTGCTTTCCAGGGGCTACAATCCCCGAAACCACACAGAGCGGTCCCCAACACCTTTCCCCTTAAGTGTGAGCTGGATTTAGCGACTCACTTTGAATGGATAGAAAAAAGCAAAAGTGGCCCTGGCTGATGTGGCTCAGGAGATTGAGTGCTGGCCTGTAAACCAAAGGATTACCAGTTCGATTCCCAGTCAGGGGACATGCCTGGGTTGCAGGCCGGGTTCCCAGTTGGTTGTATCTCTCGCACAACGATGTTTCTCTCCCCTTCCTTCTCACTCCCTTCCTGTCTTTCTAAAATAAATAACATCTTAAAAAAAAAAAAAGCAAAAGTGATGGTATGCAACTTTGGAGACTAGGTCTTAAAAGGTATTGTGGCTTCCTCTGTTCACTCAGATCACTTAACTCTGGGGAAAGCCAGCTGTCACATGTGAGGACACTCAAGCAGCCTATGGAGTCTCATGTAGCTAGGAAGTGAGACCTGCCAACAACCACGTGAATAAGCGAACTTGGAAGCAGCCTTCTGATGACTGGTCTCAGTTTGATTGCAACTTCATGGCTGAGTTAGGACCACCCAGTTAAGCTACTTTGAATCCTTGTCCCACAGAAACTGAGTTAATTCTTCTTTTAAGCCAGTAGGTTTTGGAATAATTTATTACACAGCAATAAATAACTAACCCGCAATTTCTAGTTACTTTTTTTCAAATTGTAAACATTATAGTATCTAAAAATGAGAAAAATTGATAGGCTGGCCAAAAGCTTTTTTCCCGTCAGATGGCTCTAGTAGCACTTAGTTGTCTTTAACTTCATTTGAAACAATTTTGTTAGGTTGGATTGTGACAGCTGCCATATCAGAATGCATTTAAAAAAACCAAATTGGTGACTTTTTGTGTAGCCATTTTAATATTGAACATAGAATAAGCAACATTTTTGGTGTATTATGCTTTATTATTTCAAAAAAGGTAAAAACGCAACTGAAATGCAAAGAAAGATTTGTGCAATGTATGGAGAAGGTGCTGTGACTTATTGAAATGTGTCAAAAGTGGTTTGCAAAGTTTTGTGCTGGAGATTTCTTGCTGGACGATGTTCCACAGTCAAGTAGACCAGTCAAAGTTGATAGTGATCAAATTGAGACATTGAGAACAATCAATGTCATACCATGTGGGAGAGATGGCCGACATACTAAAAATACCCAAATCAATAAAGTTATTGGAGAAAATGAAAAACATGTCTTTATGGAGAAAGCTAAATAGACTTTTTGGCCAACCCAATAGTTAGAACACATTAGGATTGCTTTAACATGGCTTATGTCTGTCTGGGTGTGCTACACAGCAGGAATTGTGTAGGAACTGAGAATGTTTGAAATATTACACTCTAAATGTAGATTTTTTTAAATAACTAAGACATACTTATATACAGTGCCTTGCACATATCAGACAAAAAGAATGAATGCATTTTTTAACTGTTCACCTAAAAATACAAAATACTATACGAAAAAGTAGTTAAATGGTGCTTACATGAAGTACTATAGAATTTGAAAGGAATGGACTTTCAATGTGGTGAAAACTTCAGGAAAAAAGCGCCATTTAAATAAATATAGGTGAAATTAGTTTCAAGATTAAAATTGTAAAGGGGGAAGGGCATGCTAAATAGGACAGCACAGATTCAAATGAAAAAATCAGAATTATGGCGAGGATGGATATGTTAAGAGTCAGTGCTTTTGGAAATTGTTGGTCAAAATTTAAGAAATACCAGCACAATGTGAGAAATCTAGGCCTTTTATCCTGTTAGGTTGATGATTTTATATGATTAAAACAGTCTTCAGGTAGATCCAAGTTTAAGCAACTTGCCCGTCAGTAGTTTACTCCAAAGCCAGGATTCCTACCATACTGTACTGCCTGATGTTGGAGATGTTTTAAAAGAATTAATGTAGTGAATGAAATATAATGTAAGACTGTGCCCAGAGAGAAAGGAAGAGGCATTGTGTTCTGTAAACTTAAAAATAATTACCACTTATTGTGCACCTATTATGTGTCAGACCCTTAACTCTATTGGATGTTTCCTATATTTTATCTATAATCCAGTTTGGCAAGGTAATCCAGTATTACTCCCATTTTACAAATGAGAAACCTAAAGCTTGGTGAAAGTTGAAAGGAGTTGCCACTCAGAAGTTTGCTGACCACCAGTGCGGTGGTCAGTCATAGTTGGGATTAATACTAAGGTTGCTCCTGCCAGTTCACACTATTCTCTCCAAGGACTCAAAACTGGGTGCAGAGGCCTGACTGTAGGCGGACTGAAGATAAAAAGAAAGCTACCCTGCTATATTCTGCATAATTTTAAAACTAAAACTCAGCTCTTATCCTTGGAGTTGGAATTTGTGGGTGGTTCTGAACCACAGAAGATTGTATGTAGTTGAGGAAAATTGTGATGCAAAAGTATGTTATATCCATTTTCTTTCTAACCAGCTGCGTGATCTCTGGAAAGTTGTGAGAACTTCTGATCCTCAAGAATCTTCTCTATAACCCTGGCTGATGTGGCTCAGTGCATTGAGTGCGGGCCTTCCAACCAAAATGTCACTGGTTTGATTCCCAGTCAGGTCACATACCTGGGGTGCAGGCCAAGTCCCCAGTAGGGGGCGCTGGAGAGGCAACCACCCACTGATGTTTCCTTCTCTCCTTCCCTTCCCCTCTCTAAAATAAATAAAATCTTTTAAAAAAGATTCCTCTCTATAAAATAAAATGGAAATAACAGCGTCTACCTCAAAGGATTGTTGTGGGATCTGCAGTGCAGAGAACCTAGCAACTATGTTCAACAGACACTATTACAATTGAAAATACTCCTTTTCTTGGAAAACAAATATTAAACCTGCACAGTAGCCTTTGATACTTGAGTTGAAATCTTGTACAAATGCCTATCTTTGTTCTCCTCCCACCTTTCATGTTTGTGATCTTTTCTTTACACAGAACGCAAATATTTTTAGACGTGAAACGAGTTGCCATAGCAACCAACCCCCTCCCCAAGAGTTAAAATGCCACTCTTGCTGCTGCTCGTTTAATTAAAAACTCTAAAAAGGCATACCCACTTGGATGTCACTTAATTAACTACCAGTAAGGAAAAGATACTGAAGCATTAAACTTAAGCGATGTCGAAAACAAATCTGTTGACCAACATGGATTCTCTCTCCCGCTTAGGACCACAGTTACAGCTGGAGTCAGAGAAAATACTTTTATCAGGTCTTTCGGTATCCTGCAGAAAATCAGACAAAAAACAAAAATCAATTATTTTTTTTAGCCCGAGTATCAGCACTGGAAATAAATCCCTCATTTGTTAATCCCTCACTTTTTAAAAAGATGTTTTCTACGTTTCCTAACCTCTTCTACCAGTCCAACTGCAGTCAGAAGATAACCTGAGGGCTAAAGGGGGCCACCTAACACTCGCTAACGCGGACCGCCTCAGAAAGGGGAGACTACGCCCGGGTCGAGTCGTAGGGGACCAACTGACTTTGCCCGCGTGCGCGCTCACGGGGCTTCCCTGGACCCTGATCAGTCGCAGCCACTACGCACAGGTGAGGCGAGTCCGCGGCCGGGGCAGCAGCTTGCATTGGCGACGCTTGCGCTGGCCGTTGAGGATCTTCTGTGTGATTTTGCGCTCGTGGCCACCAGGCACTGGCCAATTAGTGCGCAGTTCCCGCTCGCGCCGCGTCCGACCCTTGGAGTGCCCGGCCCCACTAGCCGGGAAGTCGCGCAGGTAGTAGTAATCAAGGCAGTCGTAGAGCTCCTCCTCAGAATTTACCCGCGGCCACACCGCTGGCGGCGGCGGTGGCGGCGGAGCCTGAGTACGGGCACTGGGATGGACTGGGTCCATCGCACCCGCCTGGCCGCGCGCAGGCGCGCCCCTTTGGAGGCCCCTCCCCGAGCCGCGATTGGCTCCGCCTAAGAGGCGGAGCCTAGACGTGACATCACAGAGCCCGGCTTGTGCCCTCCTCTGGATCTCTGCGCTCCAGTGGGGGAAACCCTCCCTGACCCTTTCCGGTTCCCAGGTCTGTGTACCGTGACCCAAGAAGGGGTGGTTGGCAAAATCCGACTGAGCATTTCTTTTGTGTTAGTCAAAAAATGGTAAACTAACATGCAGACAGGAAAGGCCGCGTGGGGACACGGCAAGAATGTGGCCATCTGCAAGACAGGCCTCAGGAGAAGCCAACCCTGCTGACATCTTACACTTCCAGCCTTTATAAGTGTGAGACAAATTTCTGTTGTTTAAGAAAAAAAAGTAAACTATCCAAGTGTCCAAAGGGACTGCTTAAAGAAAATGTGGCCTACGTATTCCCCCGGAGGTAGCTTATCAGTAATAAACATTTTGTTAGGCTATTTGATGTCAGCAGAAAGCGCTCATTAATAAGTGAAAAACTATCTTGTGAAGAAATAAATGCCTCCAGTATCCCAAGAACGTATTTTTAAAATACATCTGTCTATAAAAGACTGAAAGGAAATTCATCAAAATGCTAAAAGTATTTCTGACTGGGTAGGGTTATATATTAGTTCTTTTTCCTTTCCTCAAATCTATATTTTTGAAGAGTAAGAGTTAATTGTATTAAGAGAGTGATGAGAAGGAAAAGCACTCTGCCTGCTGCAAGGCCCAGAACCTGCACAATTTCGGGTTATCCTCAGGTGCCAACATCCCAGGTGTGCTAAGTTTGATGACTTGATCTGTTGGCAACTTGGAGTGAGGGCTGAGATTCCTGAGCTGCAGCATTTCGGAGGGTGCTCCAGAAAGCATCAGAGGCTAGAAGAGTCTAGTCAGGTGAACTGAGAACAGTAGATGCTGAGAGTTAGTTACTGAGAAGAAGGCCTTTGTTTTGGTTTGGTTTAACTATGTGGACAAAAAAAGTATGAGGTTACTTTTCTGACTGGGCAGGTCATGGTGGATAGTCATGCTTACAACTTTTTAGTACAAAACTTATCTTTGTTTTAAACAAGCCAGGTCCATTGTTTCTATGCATTTGGATTAGTTAACATACCTTTGAAATAAATTGTAACCATCCTAAAGAGAGCACATGAGAAGCAAGAGAGCCTTGCTTCTCCCACCTCCATGTAATCTTCCTTAAATTCACTCCTTAATTTCAAATGCATAAAATAATCTGCAAAACTGTTATTCTCCAGAGCATTTAAAATCTTGCTCCCTGGCAGATGTCTGTTTGTCTCAAATAAACTCATATAAACATTCTTTACTGGTTTGGAATTTTCTTACATTGACAACTGCCACCAAATTATAGTCACCCCTTTGGGGATTTTCTTTTTAATAGATTAAAAATAATTCTCTAATTAAAATTCTCTAATTTAATAGATTAAAAATAATTCTCTGATCTTGCTGAGTTTGTCTGTGACCAAGTTGCTGATTTGAGTTTTTCTTCTGCATTATGAAGCCTTATTCCTGGTGGGGTGTGGCCTACATACCTCACTCTGAGGGCACTTTTGGTGGTACCTTAAAGGAACAAGTCCCAGGAGAATGTTTTTAATTAAACACCGGAGGGGATTTTCTCTTACACCCACATGTCTTACATCTGCTGCTGGGAAAAAGAGAAACTAATATTTATCTCTAAGTAACTCTCCCATACATTATCTCTTTAAAAAAAATCTCTTTAGAATTTGTCCTTATGGAAATATTCAGACATTCTCAAAGGTGCAAAGAACAGTGAACTCCCATATCCCATCACAAGGATTCAGCAATTATGAAGATCCTGTCACATTTGCTTTATGTACCACATTCTGTTTTCCTCTGCTTCAGCATTTTAGATCAAATTGCAGACCTTATGTCATTTCACCCGTATTTGAGTATGTCTCAACATACAGCTCTAAAAAAACTAGACATTTCTTATATAACTGCAATGCCGTTTTTATACCCGATTAAAAAAATCAACTGTTCCTGTTATTATCTAACACCCAGCCCAAATCAAATTTGTCAAACAGTCATTGAAATACATACAAGTTAGAATGCTTACAAAATCTACACATGAAATTTGCTTGTATGGCTTTTATGTCTATGATGTCAGAGCAGTCCCCCTGCCTTTTTCAGTTTTCTGTCATTGCCTATTAGCAGAAACTGGGTCAATTTTCATGTAAAATGTGGATAGTTCTGCTTCCTGTGGTCTCATTTAACTTATTCTTTTCTCTCCCATATTTCCTGTAAATTGAAGTTTGATCTAGAAGCTTGTTTATACTCAGGTTCAGTTTTGGGGCCAAGAAAACTTCCTAGAAAGTGGTGAGTTTTGGCAGCACACCACAAGACTTACAATGGCTCATTGTCCCAGTTTTAGTAATGCCATCACTAATCAGTGGACTCAGGTGTTGACAACATGTCCCTGTAATTGTAAAGTTTCACATGAAACTTTTTTCTTATGGTTTCATTTGTATTTCATTACTTTATGTGCTCTTATATTCATTTGCTCTTATTTTGCCAGGGGTTGTAAAATAGTAATTTTCTAATTCAATCATTCCTTTCACATTTATTAGCTAGAATTCTTTCCCTCATGAAATACATTTTGACAAGAAAAAGCAGGACAAATGCTTAATTCTTTTCATTTAAAGGTGGGTTTCCAGGGGTTCCAATGGACTTAACTTTTTTTCTTGAGAATCATTATGAACTCATGGACCTTTTAAAAACACAGTCCATGTGTTTCAATCAATTTCATTCATTTTTATTCTGTTTTAACTCCAATTTTTCCATTTTTGGCCAGTGGAGCTCCTTCATATGATTCTTCTGTACTTTTGGCATTAAGCTAGTAGTCTTGAAGAATGTATTCTGGTAAACTAAGATGTCCAGGCTCATCTTGTACATCTTATGCCCCAGATCTGGAATCAGCCATTTCTCCAAGGAGTCCTTCATCTTTTTAGTGTGGAAAATGGATTTAGAGACAACAGTGTTAATGCTAAGTGTATTATGTCCCTTGATCTTTACAAGAACCCTATGAGATATTACTGTTCCAGTTTTCTAGATGAGGAAAAGTTTCACAGCTTTCTCAAGGTTATATGACATAAAAAGCAGAGCTAGACTGAGTGAGATCTGACACCTAGGTAATGTTTCTTCCATTTTACTGTGCTTCTTGGTATGAACTCATTACTTTTCAGTTCATAGACAGATTGCTAAACATACCTGACATTCTGGCTTCTGAGACGATATTTAAAAGCAGGTGCTGCTATCTGTCTTGCTTTCCTACCTGAAGACTCTAAGCTAATGCCAATGAGTCACTGTAATAAGATTTTTTAAAAATTTTATTATCTATTTTTAATGATTTTATTTATTTATTTTTAGAGAGGGAAGGGAGGGAGATAGAGAGAGAGAGAAACATCAATGTGCGGTTGCTGGGGGTTCTGGCCTGCAACCCAGGAATGTACCCTGGCTGGGAATCGAACCTGGGACACTTTGGTTCCCAGCCCGCGCTCAATCCACTGAGCTACGCCAGCCAGGGCTTTATTATATTTTTTATTTTAAATTATATTTTTTGATCATTACAGTTGTCCCAATTTTCCCCCTCTGCCCTCACAGCAAGCACTTGCCCACTCCCTCAGGCAATCCCCACTCCTTTGTTTGTGTCCATGGGTCATGTGTATAAGTGCTTTGGCTACTCCTTTTCCTGTACTGTGCTTTACATCCCCATGGCTATTCTGTGACAACCAATTTGTGCTTCTTTTTTTTTTTAAGATTTTATTTATTTATTTTTAGAGATGGAAGGGAGGGAGAGGGGGAGGGAGAGAGAGAGAGAGAGAGAGAGAGAGAGAGAGAGAGAGAGAGAGAGAGAGAGAGAGAGAGAGAGAGAAACATCAATATGCAGTTGCTGGGGGTCATGGCCTGCAACCCAGGCATGTGCCCTGACTGGGAATCGAACCTGCAATGCTTTGGTTCGCAGCCCCCATTCAATCCACTGAGCTACGCCAGCCAGGGTGAAATTTGTGCTTCTTAAAAAAAAAGATTTTATTTATTTTTAGAGAGAGGGGAAGGAAGGGAGAAAGAGAGGGAGAGAAACATCAACGTGTGGTTGCCCCTCATGCACTCCCTACTGGGGACCTGGCTCGTAACCCAGGCATGTGCCCTGACTAGGAATAGAATCTTCTACCCTTTGGTTTGCAGGCCTGCACTCAGTCCACTGAGCCACACCAGCCAGGGCCCAATTTGTACTTCTTACTCCCCTCACCTCTTCACCTATCCCCCCATGCTCCCTTGCATTTAGCAACCATCAAAATGCTCTCTGTATCCATGATTCTGTCTGTTCTTGTTTGCTAAGTTTTTCAATTGTCGATAGGTATGTTTTTATTGCCATTTTATTGTTCATAGTTTTGATCTTCTTTTTCTTAAAGCCCCTTTATCATTTTATATAATAGTGGTTTGTTGATGATGAACTCCTTTAGTTTTTGTTGTCTGGGAAGCTCTTTATCTGCCATTTGATAACTGGAAGTCCACTGTAATAAGATTTTTAAGATGGACTTTGCATTTTGTTTTATGGTTTCTTAACTCTAGAATCAGGATAAACAAATAGCAATCATTCTTCAGAAGTAGACTTTAACTCTTTGTATTAGCATAGCTACGCACAGATTATAAAGTTCTGTCTTATTACTTTCTTAATGAATCATTGCAACTAACTCATGAGGTAATGGAAAAAGAAATGGAGACTCATTTAGGTCATATGGCTTGCCCAAGGTCCATGGTGCAGTGATTTCCTGTGTCTGCATTTGGGCCTTAGCAGAACTTGTTGCTTTTTCTGAGGTCCTTCATATTAGAAGATGAATAATATTCATTTTCAAACTCAGGCCTAGCTATAGTTTACATTCAACACTTCTCTGTCTTCCCCATTTATTCATGCTTTTGCATTATCTGGGTATTTGTCTAGTTCCTTTTAAGATCAAACA